TTAGGGGTTAGGGGGGAGGGTTTTTATATATATAGGGCAGCTATAGAAGGTATGATAGTTTATATATGGACGTTAATAATTTATCTATGGGGGCTCTGGGGCAAAAAGGGGGTTGTTATATATAGGGATGTTTAGGGGGGTTCTAGTGGGGGGACCCTAGGGGTAGTTGCAATATATATATAAAGGGCAGCAGCTATAGGAGGGTTAATAGTTTATGTATGGAGAACGAGAGGGGGGCGTTAGGGGGGCTCTGGGGGGGTTGTGCTATATATAGGGCAGTTATAGGAGGTGTAATAGTTTATATCTAGGGAGATATTGACAGGCTCTCCTAGAACATCTAGGGGAGAGAGAGAAGGGGGTAAGACGATAGTTAGCAGGGGGCGTTGCCCCCCCTGGGGGTTGGAGGGGGCGTTCTCACCCCCCCCCATCGATCTCCCTTGATCGATGGGGGGGCAGAGGGAGGGGGGGTGCTGTAACCCCCACACCTGTACTCTACTCTAGGCAGCCCCCCTAACCCTATCTAGGCAGCCCCCTAACCCTATCTAGGCAGCCCCCTAACCCTATCTAGGCAGCCCTCTAACCCTATCTAGGCAGCCCCTAACCCTATCTAGGCAGCCCCCCTAACCCTATCTAGGCAGCCCCCTAACCCTATCTAGGCAACCCCCCTAACCCTATCTAGGCAGCCCCCTAACCTATCTAGGCAGCCCCATTACCCTGTCTAGGCAACCCCTCTAACCCTATCTAGGCAGCCCTCTAATCCTATCTAGGCAGCCCTCTAATCCTATCTAGGCAGCCCCTCTAACCCTATCTAGGCAGCCCTCTAACCCTATCTAGGCAGCCCCCAAACCCTATCTAGGCAGCCCCCTAACCCTATCTAGGCAGCCCCCTAACCCTATCTAGGCAGCCTCCTAACCCTATCTAGGCAGCCCCCTATCCCTATCTAGGCAGCCCCCCTAACCCTATCTAGGCAGCCCCCCTAACCCTATTTTGGCAGCACCCTAACCTTATCTAGGCAGCCCTCTAACCCTATCTAGGCAGCCCCCTAACCCTATCTAGGCAGCCCCTAACCCTATCTAAGCAGCTCCTAGCCCTATCTAGGCAGCCCCTAGACCTATCTAGGCAGCCCCCTAACCCTATCTAGGCAGCCCCCTAACCCTATCTAGGCAGCCCCCTAACCCTATCTAGGCAGCCCTCTAACCCTATCTAGGCAGCCCCTAACCCTATCTAGGCAGCCCCCCTAACCCTATCTAGGCAGCCCCGTAACGTGCCACCACAGCACCCGTAACGGGCCACCACATCACCCGTAACGGGCCACCACATCACCCGTAACGGGCCACCACGTCACCCGTAACGGGCTATCATCACTAATGCAGGCGCCCGAAGTTTGGCGGCACGTTAGCTTTTGTTTACAAGCAGCGGCGCGCGACACAACCTCCTCCCGTCACGGCCAGCGGGTAACTGACGAGCCCGCGTGGGCCGCGCGGCCGTGAGCAAGTTAACTAATTTAGGGTGGCAAAAAACGGCCAAATACGCGGGCAAAAAAGGCCACGCTTGTCACACAATTTAAACTTTAATCAAAATATATTGATTTGTTTGTATTTTGCAACGTTCAAAGTAAATTTTTATACCTTATAGACATTCAAAATTGCACCTTGTTTAATGTCTTCATATATCTTTGCGCCAAATTCAATTGTCAGAATGTCTTGCTACAATTTTGGCCGGAAAAAGGCCCATCTTGCAACACAGGGACAGAGGCCCTTTAGGCCATTAGCATGACGACTGCGGTGACAACAGCAGCGGCAACAGCAGCGGCAACAGCAGCAGCAGCTGCGGCAACAGCAGCGACAACAGCAGCGGCAACAGCAGCAGCAGCTGCGGCAACAACAGCGATAACAACTACTGTTATCACTGCTGGTTTTCCCAGCGTCCTGTCATCTGTATTTTTTACACAGCTGTGCTGTGTTGTGTTGTGTACATAACTGCTGTGTTGTACACATTATACATTTTATCTTCATGTATTAATAAAATGGTTCAATAATAATAAAATATTAAATGAATAATAAATTTTAAACTTCATTCGTTTTATCTCTTTTTATTAATTAATTAATTCATATTTAATATTTATAAAATGTTAAATAAATAATAAATATTTATTATATTAATTCCTAATTATTAATAATTAGGAAATGAATAATTAATAATAATGAGGAAATAAGATAATTGTTCTCTTGATTCATTTTATTTTTATTTATTAATTCATGTTTTATTTAAAATAATAATTTATTTAATTTGTCTTATTTTGCTGCTGATAAAAAACGCTGGTCATGCCGACCGCAGCAACGACATTCCGGGCGTTCCCCGCCGCTGCAGCCACAGCCACAGCAGCCACAGCCACAGCAGCCACAGAAGCCAGCAGTAACAGCCACAGCAGCCACAGCCACAGCAGCCACAGAAGCCAGCACCACAGCCACAGCCACAGCACCACAGCCACAGCCACAGCAGCCATAGCAGCCACAGCCACAGCAGCCACAGCCACAGCAGCCACAGCAGCACAGCCACAGCAGCCAGAGCCA